TAAATTTCTTATGTTGTAAAATGTTGTAAAGAAGTTGGACAAGTTCAACTTCTAGAACGAAAACTGTCTGCGATTAAATTACAACAATGACAACGCGTTCACTTATAGTTGTAATTGCTGCAAAACGTTCATCACCGATCGATTACAACAATTACAACTATATGTGAACTAGGCTTTATGGTAAAGTTAGTTGCTGACAGACGAAACGTTTTCCTGCAGTTTCTTTTAATCATGCACCTTTGTACTATCTATTAAGAGAAGTTCCTGTTTTTATTCTTTTAGCAGCTCAATAGATAATTGTTTAATTCTATACATGTGTTAAGAGTATCTTGGTATAAGTCAAGCTTGAATTAATATCTACGATAACATAACTAGATTTCTATCTTCAAGTTCTTATGTATCGAATGTAGTGTGGAATGTCTGAGACTGTTACAGTAGCATTCCGATCGTTCACACGAAATCTTGGACGAAAATATTCAAAATTTAAAATATTTAACGAGTAAAGCTAAACTATCTTTTCAAAGCATTTCTATAATGCCAGAGACAAATTTATCTCCTAATATGGTTTGAATTACTGAATGAGAATACCATTGACGCTCACGAAACACAAAGCGACCAATATTTGCTCGTATGTGTCCTCAAGCCTAGTTCTCATTCATCGCAAAACGTCGCTAGTATCGCCGATGGTCGGTGTCGATGGCCTTGTGTTCTCATTAATCGCAAAGCATCGTTCACCATCGGCGATGGTCGGTGATTGCTTTGAGAAAAAAAAATGGCTCCTTTTAATCTGAAATTGAATATTGTAATTTCTGTGCAGCTTCAATTGTATTTATTGGCTTTGTTAATAAGGAAAAAGCAAATTTTACTCAGATTAAACAAACCACGAAAGAGAAGGTTTTGGATAAGAGAAATGTTGAAGAAACGCCAGCAGGAAAGTCAATTTCATATTTTGGTTGAAGAGTTAAAATTGCACGATCGAGAGTATTTTTTCAAGTTTTTAAGAATGAGTCCAGAGAGGCTAGATTATCTATTAAGTCTTGTTGCCCCCTACATTACAAAAAAGAAATGCAACATCAGAATACCAGTTTCTGCAGGAGAAAGACTTGTCGTTACTTTGCAATATTTAGCTACGGGGGATTCCCAACAATCCCAAGCCTTTAATTTCAGATTGGGAAAAAGCACAGTTTGTAATATCATAAAAGAAACATGTAGAGGAATATGGAATTCTTTATGTACCACATACCTGAAGGCTCCAAAGTCTGAGCATGAATGGAAAGAGATCGCAAATGAAATGTTTACTCAGTGGAATTTTCCAAACTGCATAGGTGCATTGGATGGAAAACACATTGCAATTGAATGCCCTGCTAATAGTGGATCTAATTTTTTTAATTACAAAAAGTTTTATAGTATCGTATTGATGGCCATGTGTGATGCTGGGTACTGTTTTACATTGGTGGATATTGGAAATAATGGAAGAGACAATGATGCACAAATTTTCAATAATTCAGCAATGGGCAAAGCTTTGTCAAATAATGAATTAAATATTCCATCCTGCAGTTCCATTGTTGGCCATACACTGCCTTATGTTGTTGTAGCCGATGAAATCTTTGCACTCAAACCATGGCTAACGAAGCCATATGGTGGTAAAGGATTACCACAAGATAAAGAAATATTTAATTACAGACTTAGTCGTTGCAGATGAACAATAGAAAACAGATCTGATTAGTTACATGGAAAACTTTACTTTAGTAAAATACAAAACTTCTTCTGACAGCAAGCGGTCAAAAGGAGACTACTTAGTCTATTCTTCGGCAAACGACAAAATGAATATCAAATGCTTATGAACAGACATGAAAACCAGGCCGTATGCACAAGCTTAATCCATATAGTGGTAAAAAATATCTTATGGTGCCCGACAGTGATTGTTTAATATTATACATGATTTATATATGAGTAAAAATATCCTGCAATCTCGGTTAAAATTCAGGCTAAAAAAATCCCTTAAACTACGAAAGAGAGTTGTGCAAGAAGTTAATATTTTTAACCGCTGTATACAAACAGAAACCATTGCTTTAACAATGAATAATATGAAGATGTATAACCGGAATATTATTTGTGTAATAAGCCAATACACCGGCGTACATCGATGTTATAATAACTAATAATCATATTACAAGACGATGCTAAACGTAGTGTTTGATTGCATGTATTGAATAAGTTGTAAATAAATCAACACTTAACAACTGACAGAACAAGACCCAAAAGATAGCATGAAAGAATTAACGACATTGACGTTAACTTTTGGGTCGCGTTTATAACGGTTAACCGCAGCAAGTCCTTCACAGCTATGTACGTATTTTGGTGTTTGTTCAATGTAAAAACAATATCCATCAGGAAACCAACAATGATATCGTGTTAAAAACTTACAGAGCATGACCATGCAACTCTTGAAATGGCTAGGCTACCTTTTAACAGTTAATAGATTGTCACTTTGTCGTTTGCAAAAGACCAAATGCTTTGCTTCGGTATCTTTTGTCTTTAATTTAAAAAAATATTTTAATTATTGCTTTGATTAGCGTATTTATCAAGGTGATTGACAATTGAGTAGTTCTTCAAAGAACAGTTGAACACCAAAATGAGGATATTACATAAAATTAAAATGACACGATGCATTTCGGCAGACTTCACCATAATTTTATAACTATCTTCATTTCAGTTTTCTACAGTTCTTAAGAACTACTTAAATTGTCGTTCACCATGACAAATACGTTAATCACAGCAAAATTAAAGTTCGTGTTCACAATAAAGTCTTTGTTTTATAAAAAAATGTAATTTCCCTAAAACGTCATTGGAACTCATGCAATTGCCTCAATTCAAGTCTGACTTTGCAATATTGTGCAGTCACTTAAAACTCTTCCCATACAGGCTATATACACGGTAATAGATTTCTGAAATGTGATTTCCCTACAACATCATTGGAATTGAATTGCTACAAAGCTGACTTTGCAATATTTTGAGAAAATGAGTTGCCTGATTTACTTATTACTTATTTCCAAAAACAGTTGAGTTGTTTTTCTTATAGTAACTAACTAATTTGCAATTGTATATAGCTATCAAATAATTTTATGTTCTCGAACAAGTCATGGAGTTCATTTTTTGAACAAAGAATGCAATATTGTCAAAAAAAATAATACATATCCAATCGTTTTTAGCTGTAGTAATGACAACAATGATATAAATGTACCTTTAAAATTTTGTAACACGCAAATAGTTAAATGGATATATAGCCACCGTAGCACACCATAACCCATGACAAACAATAATTATAAAAATCTACAACAAGCGCTACAATGCGTGTTTGCTCATTCTATTTTAAAAATATAGCCACGTAAAGAATTTGACACATCTTTGTTGCCCAGCTATATAAAAACAATCGAAAAGAAAAATTTACCGCGGAATTTGCCAGCAGCAAATCAACAATTACATCTCAATGAAATAGCTATGTAACTTGGCATTTCGACAATTCATTCTACCTGTAAATTCTTCCCATTTCATATTACTCACAAAACATGATAAATTGATAATTCAGTAATGTTTACGTCAAAAAATAATGTGCCGACGTAGGATCGTTTAATTGAGAGATATGATTAACAGTGTAAATATTTACTTTTTAAGCAAGTTGAGAGAAGGATAGGCCAGCCTGACCATAGTGCAGGATATGAGAGAATAATGAGAGAATAATTATGCTATGGGCCCACGCTTTCAGATTCTTCTTTATGATTTGAATTTTACAGTAACTTAATTAAGTGAAGCAAAAAATGGTTAAAGAGTAAGAAATTTTAAGTGCCAGTTTATAATTTAATAGCGACATAAAATACTTCAATATAAAACTGGTTGATTACAGAGTTTTGATGAGCCATCTTCAATGGTTCAGGGATGAATAAACATTAATTGTATAGTAAATAAACAATTAAATGAGAGTACCTACATAATGATTACATATGAATGACATTCCGTTCAAATATATTCATAGTACTTATCAAAATATAGGATGTCTTTGAAGACTATTTTCCATCTCAATTGTGGTTAAAATCTTAAATTTTTGAGGTTTATAAAACCATGCTATTGAAATTAGAGAGTATAAAAAGACTTTTCAGAACTCATTATTTATAAAAGCGAAGCTAAGTTGTGAATTATAAGAGAGACATTGTACAAGATATCTTTGAGAAATCAGCTTGTAAAAACAGAAGAAATGGGTGAGCAATGCATGTTTATTAATGATGGAGAAAATGCATCAATTTAGTCTTCAAAAAACTTATTTAATGAATTTCTTATAAATATGACAGTTAAAGATATTTTCATTTGTGTTGACACAATTCTTTGATGACATAATTCTACGATTTATGAATTCATTTTGTCAATAATATAATTGAGTGATTTACTGAAACACAATACACCATAACCCAACATCCTTTGTATTTTTTCACGATAAAATAAATGCTTCGTAAAATGAGCAGTTCTCGTGCGCAGTAATGAGCATTAAACGATGAATTTTCTGAAAAACAATCTTTGTCTTTTTTAGGTATCTTTAACAACTTCAAATATACATGCATAATATGTGTGGTGTTCATGAGCAAGAATGTGCATAGTAAAACAGAGAACAAGACTACTAACAATAAACCAGGTACAAAAACAAATAATGATTTGAATCACGATGAAAGAAGTTAACGTTAATATTCATTTTCTATAGTTTCAGTCCTCAAGGAAGAAGTTGTCTCAATTTATAATGAAAACTTCACTGACATTCCGAAGGACAGAGAGCCATATTATGTTAAAGTTCAACGATGTATCATCGATAAAGATAAAATTCCTATATGTTCATTATGTTGGCCCCAACCTATGACATTGACAGAAGTCGAGATTGTCGTTCCTGATTTAAAAACTACACAAAATTTTATAAATATATTGTATATAATCACACTTCTTGTTACCTGGAAAGAACTTAACAGCCTTGAACTTTAATCTACACAAGAATCTATCTTCAAACGAAAGTAAGGACTTCTGTATTTAATTAAAATTTAAACTGAGATCTAAATTTGAAACTCTTTTCCTTTTGTGTTTACAGTTAACGAAACAGAATTTACAACAAAAGTAAAATACAATCCACCAAACGTGAGAACATGTAATGACTATTGCAAGCATCCACAACCTCGTTTTCATCTGCACAGTGAATATATAAAGGTTCCTTTAAATTATCTCTTTATACCATTCACTCAATGCTTGCCTGGTTGCAAAGCAACAAAAAACACAACGAACATCAAAACACAAACCCTAGATGATTCAACCCTATATGAACTTGTCAGGAATCACTCATCGTGCAATTTTTGGGATACAAAAGTCCATAAAAGTCCACTTTCAATAGCAGACGCAGTGATACAGGTAAAAATTTTCAATTATGATTGAAAAATTTAACCAAAAAGCGTTATGTGTGTGTAATTAGATGTGCACAACTTCTGAGAAAAATTGCAAAATAATCATGTTTTACGATTTGCTTCATGTCTTATTTTCATAAAATTTCTTTACAGAAAGTCGACCCCTCGTGCTAAATAAAGGATTATTTGTCTACATCACATCACCCAGAATGATGTTAGTTGCCTTCATTCTCTCGACTGTCCTCATCTCAATACTCATTCTGGACTGTAATCTGTGTCATCGTAAGAAAGGAATAATGTATTCTATAAAAAGTTGTGGAAAGAATGAAGAGTGTGAAGACTGCGTAAGAAGACAGCAGACTATGATAGAAATGGTTTAAGTATCAGTAGTTTTTGTGTCACATTTCTGCTAAAAAGGAAGACATGAATGAATAAAGCATCTGAAACCAGGTCCCATCGGAAGCTGTGGGGATTGGGCAGGCTGCAACCCCCTTTCAGTAATTTCCAAAATTGTTGTGAAAATTTAACAAGCCCAGCTTTTCCCCGAATCTTCTAGGAGAAAGTCACATACCGTAGAGTCTCGAAATAATAAGCTGCCCGGGCTATTTTAATTTTAAAAAGGTGGCTAATTTAATGATGCGGTTACTTTCAGTGGAAGGATATTTCGAGACTCTAAGATATTTGAATTTTCAGACCCCCCATTCTTACTTAGAGCTTCCGACGGCGGTGAAAACAAGAAATGGCTGAACATTGTGTTGTGCGACAAGATGAATGACGTACAAATCATGACACTCCACGCAACGCTATTAAAGTGTATGAATTGTTTTCAGCAGAAACTGTGAGCGTAATATTCTAATAATTGGATAAGATTCTAAAAGCTGTATAACATTTGCACTAATTTCTGCCAAGTCAACATTTATACTATATATTTTTAATTACATTAAATTTTCTTTTAGTGATATTAAACTGGAATTCATGATTATTAGTGAATGTGATGAAAGTTGACGTGTTTTGAGAGCAGTAAAATGGGCAAGTTTTGTTGTTGCATATTTTAGCAACTTTTTGCTCATTTTATGGGCATCCACTGAAGAAGGATTTTAAAAGCCTTTTTTCCTCGTAAACCAGAATATTAAGAGCAAAAGAAATGATCAAGTCAGTTGGCAGATCATCATTTCAAGAGCTTTCCTTTTCAGTGATAAGTTGATGAATTAGGCTGGTTATTATAACAAAGAACGTCCAATTAGATTAGAAAAGTAAATTTAGTAAAGTCAAAAGAACCAGTTGAAACTTTGGTTACCTTTCATGCACGAGAATGTGTTTATATAACCGCGTTTTCTTTTCTTTGATTGTGGACTAACTCAAGCATGAATAGACTACTTTAAGTACAAAGAATAAATAGATAAAATCTTGGATAATAACTGAACCAAATGGGAAAATACTGGCCCTTCTTAAAAAATATTAGCTATTGCGCAACAGAAAATTATTTCATAAGAATCATAACTATCTTCTCCTTTCTCTTTTGAGTTATAAATATCATATTTTCCTTCATAAATTATTTAACTATATGTTTAAAAGATAGTTCTATTGAGTTTCATTGAAGTTGATTTAAATTTTATATGTGTGGTTGGTCATTAAATAAATAGATCAATATCTAAATCATTGCTAATTTTATGGTGATTACCAAAGAATAACACGTGCAAAATGTTAATATGACGGACGATTTTTAAATTCTTTGCAATTCAAAAATAAAGCAAAGGAATGGACCGTTTCTGCCCTCAACGAATTAATAAATGACACACAAGAATGACGCCGAATCATGAAACAAATTTAACTTTGTTGCATTTTTAAAACGTTGTATAAAACGTCAAACTCACTTGACCTGTCTCGCATTGAAGGTCACAAAAGTCGTTTAACTGTCTCAATTCTGAAGAGCTAGACAGTATTTTGACTGAATTGATTAGTGATAAATGACTTAGAAATGTATCTATAATTTGCCAATCACAACAATTGATAACCACAAGCAAGTTAAGAATTATTAATTATGTCGCGTATTATTCATTATTTGCATGTGTTATAGTAATCAATAAACCTTTCGTTGCTTTTTAAATTGATAATAAGGTGAAGTTTTTATATTGCAGGAGATTATATTTTAGGAATGAAAAAAAAATAGTGAAAAGCACTTTCTAGCCAAAGGACTTTTTAATACTTCCACAGAGTATTAATAAATCGTGGATACAGCATCCTTCTTAAGGCGAAGCCGTCCTGCTGTCCATCCTACTGATTGCATCGCTTCAAAATTTTGCACGAAGCACGAACTCTCGAAATGTTGCGAGCACAATTTTGAGCTCTTTGTTGGCTTCAAATTTTTGCGTCGGATTTCTTCAATCCAAATATCTCGCATGCGCTTGTTTTCGGGAAACGAAAAAAGAAACCTTTTGCTGCGTTTGATGGTTCTTAGAAGAACCGTTTTTATAGTTAAATGTGGCACAATAAACCATATTTTCAATGCTAAATTGTCGTGTTGTTAATGCAGGCAAAGTATATTTTGAACGAAGCGCGCAATTGACGCGTTTAGCTTATGTCAACTATTACGTCACAACGACATCGGTAGCTGTCGTTAGCTCGTCGGGCATTTTTAATACGTTATCAGGAAAGCATCAACTTTAAACCTCCATATCTTCAAAAATATTTATCCTTTGAGTCTCAAACTTTGGTGAACTATTAGTTGGAGCTATACCTTTATGTAAAGTACAAAAATAACAATCCGAATTTTATGTTGCATGTGTCCTTTAATATTGTAACTGGATTTTAGGGAAATTACATCGGATTTCGGGGTGACTTTGGTTGAATTCGAGGGAGCTAGTTAAGTAGCAGAATTTTGGGCTCATACAATTATCTTTAAGTACTCGCACGCCCTATATAAATCTCACCTTGTCTTAAAGCAAAGGAAACAGTTGGCGTTACCCAAAGAATATGCAAACAATGGCAGCAAATATATTAGATAATCACAGCGAATATATAAATGACTCTGTTCAGTATAGAGTCACTAATTATTCAAAATATGAAGACTATAGACTAAAAACAGTCAATAAGTAAAAAGAAAAACCTCAAAGCGCAGCAACAGCTGTGATATATACTCAATACACACTTATCCTCGTATTAAACATTTTAATGTCAGTACACTTTCACGATACTTAAAATTTATCTTTATATTCGGTACCTTCTTTAAGTTACAGCATTCTTTAGTAACCTCTTCTACAAAACTCTTTCAAAGCCTCGGTAAAAGTACTTTACTTACACGTTTGTAATTGAAAACAGCAGCGTGCTTCTCTGTCCCATCCTCGTCATTATTGAAACTCAAAATGAAGCATTCGACTGCGTGGCGTAAACTTTAATTATTGTACTCACAGATTACCAATTGGCGAATTATCAAAGTGCAATGTATCTCTTAATTCTCAAGTGAAGGTAGTTATTGTTTAGCAATGCTAGAGAGCATGAACACTTCTGCTTTATACAATACATATGCATAAAGAATTGTTAATGAGTTCAATAGACTTACTAATATGAAATTCATTAGTATTATTCTATTGAAATGCTGTCACTGTTTGCTTATTGGTGGGTTGCAACCATTCTCCTGAGAGTAAGAGAACAATGGAATGCTGGCCATATTGGATGAAGTATAATTGTAGAAATTGGAAAACTCAAAAGCCTTCTCGTGGCTTAGCAGCTTAGCTCTAAATTTAAAACGGCTGAAGTTGAAGACGAAACGTCGACAGTAATCACCCTTACCATTACTTTCGCGATGGCCGTGTTGAAAAATCATAGCTACGTCTGTCATGCTTATTATAAAAAGCTGACGTCAGTCAGAGTTAAGTTGACTCTGAAGATGACTACTGCTAAGGTTGTCGAAACGTCAGTCAACATCAATACCAACAGTCCTCCTCAGGACTCTACTAACCTGGATGATCTTCATCCACAAACATGTTATGATACTCCCGGGGTTCAACCATTCACTTTATTACTGTTTTGTGTTAGTGACCTGTCATTTTTTTAGTGAAACTTGCCGACATTGTGAAAATATTAGCCTGTTAAGACCAATACATACGTCGAAGACACGCGATATCAATGACTATCGCACACGTGATGACAAACATTGCCTACAGCTGTGAATTGAGGAATATATTTGGATAAATCGATTCTAAAAGAAGCGTTAAGTGATTTCTAGGCAGCCGATGATGTATAAACAATTGACAAGCTTGAAATCGTCAGCTTGCAACGTACCACTTATGTCACAGGTCATAAAATTGCCGTGTTTTTCCTAACTATTTTTAACTGCATTATTGCCTCCGTGGAGAATATTAATTACGTGAAAGCACTCTCCAAAAACTCGTTTCATGTACTACTTAAATAAATATTACAGCATCAATATTGTTGCCAATGAAGTGCCAGGCGGGAAACGGATTCTCAATATAAATATTAGAGCCCAACAAATAATTTTAAACATAGTCATAAACAGTTTGGTTTTATGAAATTTATTAAAAGAGTGATGTTTCGTCTTTACTCAAGACATCTAGTTAAACTGAAGACACCTAATTAGTCAAGACACCTAATTAGACTGAGGAATTACTCCAAAGTTAGTTAAAGATTTAAGTAAAATGTTTTGAACCTCGATTGTTTGCATGGAGAATTCTTCAAACTTATTGGCAAGACATCAAGCTAAATCGCTTTCATTTAACAATCACATTTTCGATATTGTGGATGAAAAATTCTAGTTTTTAGTTCACATTCACGTTACTTAGCAAAAAATAATTCGAAACTGACCACAATAGTAAAACCACAATGCGAAACCGAACTGTTATGATAAATAATTACATGCGCATAAGCAACCATTTTCATTGTTTAGTTAACGTCACAATACTAAGTAAAACGTGACTAAAGATAACCTCAATTAACTTGCCTAGCACATATCATGTATGATAATGTATGATATAATGTTGTACACCAAACATATGTACTCCAAGATTTTAACATAATTATCGAATCCACTGAAAAACAGATTAGTAGCTACATCATAAAATAATGTATGATTACAACGAAACGAACCGTCTTTTAAAAAACTATTTAGAGCTAATGGTCAATTTTACTTGACTTGCCACGGCATTTTCAAATGATTACAAGTTAAGAATGAAAGGGTTTTAAAATAAAATAAAGATATTTGCACAGACAGATTTCTTTATATAGACACAATGCCTTTCCCCATAGTAATAACACCAGGTACTATACACCACTAACCACTATACCACCAATCTCTATTTAAAAAACAAAAATGTAATAAATTACATGAACATACTGTGAATGAAGCTTGAGTGAATAATATATTTCTGTAATGAAAAAAATCAGGTAGCCACACATGTTTTTCGAAAAGATTTTATGTTTTGGACTGAATGCTTTCAAAAACATTATGAAAATTTCCGTCGAAACTGACTTGCGGTTAGCACATAAAAACACATCATCCTTATTCTGACAGCACATTTCGGAGGCAAGGAAGAACTTTCACTCCTTTCGAACAAACTGGAAGATTCCAGGTAGCAAAAAGTAGAGCAAATAAATAGAACCGACACTTGGAGATTCATTCATACTTTGTACTCGGCTGCACATACAAGAACAGCTGAAGACTGTCAAAAAATAGCAAACCAAAGAAAATCGAAATTATTGTGAGAAATCGTTCGCTCGCTCATATTGGAAAAAGAAAAGCAATGGGTGAGTCAAAACTACAGTTGTTGTAAAATTATTCGCAGTTTATATATTGGTAAATGTAATGATTTCTTCAGCGAATACTTTTTAAAACAATAAAATGGAGCACATGAATTTAAAATCTTACAAAAACTGACAAAATTATCTCACAGTAGGGCGGAGCTCTGATCTCATGCAATACTAAATGATAATTAATTTGCAGTAACTCTAACATAAGCCAATATACGTCATAAGATCTAATCAAGTTAGCTTGCTATTAATAAAAACAGTGCCGGACCGGGGTACGTCAAAATAAATTACTGCTCCTTTTACAATATATTTACAAGTTTACAAACATTTTAGATGCAAGTGCATTGGTAAACTTATATTCATTAGAAATTCCGAACCAATAGTGTTTTTGAACGTATTTTTCGAATATAAAATCGAATTGAGCTATATAACTTTATTTTGCCGAACGCTGAGTCCGCTTATGATTTAAAACAAATTTTGTCGGCAAAAGTATTTGGAACTTCAACATACATAGACGTTTTCCGCCGTGCAAACAAGGATGACGTTATTACAAAACTCTCTATACAAAGAGATATTGAAACAATGACGCAAAAAACGTCATTTGCAGTAATCAGTGCGTGACTAACAATGTACGTATTGTATAAAAATACCTATTTTACAAAGTGTTATAGTTAAATTTGTGAGTGTAAAGTGAACGGACTGAAGAAAAAACAAAAGGTAATCATTATTTAGTCTTAAATATTTCATCTAGTTCTCTCGTGGTTATTTAGAAGTCATTTGTGTCTCTAAATAACCATAACTCTACACACCATAAGGAAAGCATTGTAAGATTTAATAAAACATTTTAATAAGTATAAAGTTTTCGATGGCAGACTTTAATAGGGTTGTCTATAATAAAGTATTTTATTGAACATTAATATGTTAAGATTTCAACAGTTCGTTTCTGTGATATTGTAGTGATTTATGCGTATTTCAAAGGAAACCCCACCTATGTTAGTTAAAGGTTTCTTTTTGTTTAATCAATGTTTTGGTAAGGTAAATAGGGGATTAATAACCAGGACAAGCAGACAATTTTAAGTAAAATAAAATAAAACAAATTCCGAAAAATGACATCTCGTTTTCTTAATAATCAAAATGATAAAAGAGTTACAGATAACAGATTGTGTAATATTTTGTCTTTATTCCAAAGACATCATCAGACTAATAGGGGATTGATAAAAAGTCTTTATTTTCAATGATTAATATTACTTACACATTTACACAATATCTCATCAGATAAGTAAATACGAAAGTATACATACACATAACAATACAAAATTTACATCTACAGCAAAAGATTATCTCGGAAGATATAACGACAAATTCGTCTTGGTTTAGAGTAAAATTTAACGACTCTACTAAAATACTTGTCTGTTTAGCCCGCTTGCCTTTGTGAGTACAAATTCGAGCAAAAACTTTTGGCAAGATATATATGACATTTAACGCGCATAGGTGTAGTTAGAGCATGAGTCAGTACAGACAATTTCGTCATCGCCTGTTTAAACGTACTTCGCATACAATTGTAATTGCTGTAATTTCATCAGCGATACCTTCCAACTGATTTGATACATTCCAACTGATTCGATACATTCCAACTGATTTGTACATTCCAGTTGATTTCATACATTTCAACTGATTTCATACATTCAGTTCCAACTGATTTTATACAATACAAATGATTTACAACACTACCTATTCATAAATAGTTGTAGTTGTTGTAATTCAGGTGATACTTACTAGTATCAAATTTGATCATTTATCGTACAAGAATTCGAAAGTAAAGATGAATTGCCATCGACCATAATCGTTCACGTGTAAATTTCTTATGTTGTAAATGTTGTAAGAGTTGGACAAGTTCAACTTCTGAACAGCTCCCGATTTGTCTGCGATTAAATTACACAATTACAACAATTACAACAATTACAACACGCGTTTACTTATAGTTGTAATTGCTGCAAACGTTCATCACCGATCGAATTACAACAATTACATTTATATGTGAACTAGGCTTTATGGTAAAGTTGGTGCTGACAGACGAAAAACGTTTTCCTGCAGTTTCGTTTAAATCATGCACTCTTTATGACATTATCAATTAAGGAAGTTCACAATTTTTTATTCTTTTAGCAGCTCAAGAGATAATTGTTTAATTGTATACATGTGTTAAGAGTATCTTTGTATAAGTCAAGCTTGAATTAATATCTACGATAACATAACTAGATTTCTATTTTCAAGTTCTTATGTATCGAAAGTAGTGTCTGAGACTGTTACAGTAGCATTCCGATCGTTCACACGAAATCTTGGACGAAAACATTCAAAATTTAAAATATTTTACGAGCAAAGCTAAACTATCTTTTCAAAGCATTTCTATAATGCCAGAGACAAATTTAGCTCCTAATATGGTTTGAATTACTGAATGAATACCATAGACGCTCACGAAACACAAAGCAACAATATTTGCATATGTGTCCTTATAATAACCCAGCATGACAGCAGTCGTGGGCGAATATATTATTTTCATTGTCTGTAATATACAGGTCAATGCATATCAAAGACATGCTGCAATAAATAACTAAAATAAGCAATGATATCGAAACATTAAAAGGGAAAACCATCGGTATTTATGTGTAGATCTGATTAGTTACATAGAAAACTTTATTTTAGTAAAATACAAAACTTCTTTTGACAGCAAGCGGTCAAAGGAGACTTTGACAGCAAGCGGTTAAAGGAGACTACTCAGTCTATTCTTCGGCAAACGACAAAATGAATATCAAATGCTTATGAACAGACATGAAAACCAGGCCGTATGCACAAGCTTAACCACATAGTGGTAAATAATATCTTACGGTGCCCGACAGTGATTGTTTAATATTATACACGATTTATATATGAGTAAAAATATCCTGCAGTCTCAGTTTGCTTTCGGTCTCAAAAAAATCCCTTAAACTACGAAAGAGTTGTGCAAGAAGTTAATATTTTTAACCGCTGCATACAAACAGAAACCATCGCTTTAACAATGGAAAAATATGAAGATGTATAACCGGAATATTATTTGTGTAATAACGGCACCGGCGTACATCGATGTTATAATAACTAATTATCATG